ACCCGAGGAAGCGTGTGCTCCACGGTCCCAGCTCCAGGACTCACACCCACGTAATCTTAAAACCTCAAATGCGTGGAGAGTCACGTTTAAAATAGGTAGCACGTACGCATACATAAATACATTATATAAATATTTTATATAATTAAAACATAGGTACATTTAAATCACGCATGCATACACACATGTATGTATACATACATTACAGGTTGCTTGGCAACTGTGTGTTTAAATTGGCTGGTAGTAAGTCATTACACCGTGATGAGTTAATAATCCATTTCCGTCTGGAAGATGAAGAATATCTTTTTCCATATCAGCATATGGTTAAGTGCCTATAACCTGCTCCCTGCGCTGGGTTCCACACGCGCAGCTCGGCATCGGTGGCGGCGTGACAGCAATCAGTTTTACACGTCCTGAAGTTGATTGCAATCTCTCTGGGACTTTAAAATGCCCATTGTTTTGGATGAATTATACCACAAGAAGCCTTCATTTTTGTTAACAATCTGCCCACAGCATTAGAAGATTCAATTCCAAAGCTATTATTCTGCCTTCAAAGCCTCCAAGTGCAAGACTCGGCATACAAATTTATATACACTTTATACGCAGAAATGCACCAAGCGTGATTAATGCAGAAATCCAATTCAGTTAGAGAAGCAACCCTCATCACCCTGGCCCGCTGGTGTCAGAGATTAATCTACTGAGCTGACAATAGAAACCTTCCCCAGTAACTTCACTGCGACAAAAAGCCAAATCTGTTCAAAATCAAGACACTGAACATAGGGAAACTACTAGCCCACGTCCTCCTGGGCTTGGGCCGGCTCCCTGCGCTGGATGAGAAGCAGCTTGGTGCTCTCTGGGTTGGAGAAAAGCCTTGGCTCCTCAGTCTTGGGGCTCCTCGGTCTTGGGGCTCCTTGGTCTTGGAGAAAAGAACTGTGGTTCACACTCAAATCCCTGCCACATCCCTGACCATCTCCATCCCTGTGACCCTGTGGACCACCTGAACCCACAGAGCTCAAGTGGAAAGGAGCAATAAAGCATGAAGGACTTCAAGGGAACTTCACTTGTCCTGCAGCATCTCACTGGGATGCACACAAGGTGTCAGGCCCAGTTCTGCACCCCTTATTTCTGCCAATAGCACCTCAGACCACTTGCCCTGCTCTGCCACATCCCTGGTTCAGCACTTGTGTGAGTAAGAAGCCTTCAGAGGAGATCAAGTTTAACAAATCAACCTTGTGCCGGGCTAAAAAAAGCTCAGATGAAAAACGCAAGGAAAAACAAAACCTGACAGTTGCAGTTTTCCATGGCAGGGTTGGGCCTCTTGGGTCCTTCTACTGTAAGTTCACCGCAACGCTGAAAAGGTCAGGCATTGTTCCAGCCCTTGTGTTTTCTCCTGCCTCCAAAGCACCCAACCACGTTCTGCTGCAGAACTGACATTTTTAAGAATAGAGGCTTTCAGGAAAATATTTACAGCTTCCTGGTTTTGCCTATTCCCAACGCACGGACGTCAACTCGCGATTGAGGTGTGCCGCGACCGATTGTCTCCCACCATCGGTTGTGCGGCTGCTGAGCTGCAGCTGGGACTGCCGGAGGCTGCCGGCACGGAGCACGCGTTTCCTGCCACCTGTCCTCTGCTGGGCCCCACCGCCGCTCCGAGGATCAAACCACGATGAGGGACGTTTCCGACGCGAAGGGAGCAGCCTGTCAAACGCAGGAAGTGAGGACGTGCCGTCCCGGGTCTAGGCTGGGGAAGGGGGGCAGCCGGAATTTCTCTAATTTAGGAGGGTTGCATGGGAAGCGGCAGCCCAGGGCACTGTGGGATGCTCTCTGTAGAGCTCCTCCCTGCTGCCACACACAAAGCATCACGAGGGAGTCCCCCTGGGAAGGAACGTCGAGCAGCCACGGTGTATTTCAGCGCTTGCACAAGTTCAGGACCCACGTGGAAGACCCTAAGTCATGGATCTGGCTCAGAAAGAGCTGCACAAAACGGAGCCACAGAGGGATGATGGATGCCAAAGCTACCCCAGCTCTGCTAGGATTGTTTGGGTGGGCTCTTCATGCTGGAAAGTAAACCTGGAGGAGGGCTGATCAGGGAAGGTCAATGCAAGCCCTTGCCCCCCGCAAAATCAGCTAACGGGGTTTATCTAGTTCCCTTGAGAGATGCAGTATTTCTGCACAGTGTTTGGCCAGAAGGAGCCCAGACAACCCACAACATTAACTGAAAGAGCCTTCCATGGCAGAAATGCTGGCCAAGACCCTCAGCCCCGATCAGGTGTGTCCTAGCGCAACTGTGAGAGCAAGAGCAAGCCTGGCCACCTTCTTCCACCTGGAGAAAGGACAGCAGCACGTGGTTTGGACATGTCCTACCTTTCGTTGTCTGTGTTGACTGGCATGCGGTTCTTTTGCCAGAGGATGACGGGCTCAGGCAAGCCATGAATCTGGCACTGGAACCTGGCTACGCCACCTTCCTCCACCACTGCATTCTGAGGGTGGATGTGGAAGTCGGACATCGCTGGAAGACACAAAGAGAGACAAAAATGTTCACGTGTGAAAAGGCATCCATTGCCAACAACTTCATGTGACCTCAGAACAGCCTGATTTCCCTGAGACAGCAAATGGGATTGTAATGCAAGAACAGAAGGCTGGTTTGCAGCCTAACCTCCGGCATGGAGAAACAAGACTAGTGGCAAGTTCTTGCTATCCATCTGCCTCTGCATATGGAACGGATTGATTCAACCAGGACAGGAGATGGTGTTCCATGACCCACATGCTCCACAGCAAGGTCTACTGGGGCAGCAAGATGCACGGGGCATCCACTGCACTGGCCCTTATCGCAGGTCATTCTCAACAACTTCGGGTGGCTTTGGATCCAAGCTCACATCAGGAAAGAGATGTCTACTCTTGCTGCTGCTGCTGCTGTCTTACCTGCTGTAAATATCCTTCTGATGTGTGCGGCTTGACTTGATCAGAAGAGCTCCCAGATACCGCAGTAAAACTTACAGCCCTTGATTTCCATCTCTGTGTGGCATGAGCTCCAGCTCATTGCATACTCTGCCTTCTGGCACCGCAGAAGGAACGGCCGCATCCCTGTGCTGTGGAGCAACAGGCTTCGGTCGGCAGAAAGAGCAGCTGCCAAGAGCTCAGCAGCTCAGCTCACCCAGGCTTTTGGGGTTGGGACCACCCAACAGCGAACGGCAAACCTCAGCGTGCCCACGCAGGATGAATACAGACCAGCCTGCTTCAGCACAGCCACAGCTGTAACCATTATGCGGAAAGGCTCCGGCATGCTGTTAGAGCCACATAAATAATACAGTAATTATTACTATTAATTAATTGGAAGGTGCTGCCTGTTGACTCTGCAATAAACATATTCGAGACTAATAAACATCCCAGTGGTTATTTAGCTCATGATTCATTTATAGTGCCGCATCCGCGGGCAGATCTCTCACATTATCATACAAAATAAACTCCAAGCAAGCCCCCCGCTCTGCCACCCCAGCCCGGTAATACCCCTCTCCCCAGCGAGAAAGCCTTGTCCCCTTTTACATGCGTCAAGTGTAATGAATGTACCTCTGCTAAGGAACAAGCTGCGGATGTGTCAGGGCAGCTTAATCATTCATCTGCAAACTCCAGTTGGGCTCAGGCAGATGGGAGATGGCCATTAGCAATCATACATTAAATATGTGTTGCATTAACCCGCGCTGCTCCCCCAACCGCCGCGCTCAACCCGCTGACTGCAGATTTGTTAAGCTGATCGAGTAACGTGGAGCAAAGCCCCGGCCCCGCATGGCTGTAGGGTTGGGAAGGTTTTTCCAGCTGTGAGGGTGGGATGGACGGCCAGCCCCAGCGATGGGAGCAGGACTGGGAGTTGGCTGTGCGATGCTCCAGCCAGATGGGAACGTGCCAGCACAAGGCAAAAGATCATGCAAAAATCTATTTCCCTTTCCCAAGATGAAAGCTAATGCAAATGTCCTCTTTAGTAAGGGATGGAGCACAATGGTGGAATGGCAATTTACCCAACTCATACACATTTAGCCTTGAAATGAGGCTGCTCGTGGTCCAGAGCACTCAGCCGTAGGGGAAGGAGCCCAAAAGGCTGCTGGGGGTGTGGGGGTACCCCACTGTAGGCGATTCCCCTTCCAAGGATGCTTCAAAAATGGGGAGTCCAGAGATGCCCGTGGCGGGAGAGCTCGAGGGAGCCTGCAGAATATTTCAAGGCTGCCATTCGGAGGTCCAGGCTGGGCGAGCATCTTGCAACCAAAGCTTGTGAACTTCCACCAAGAAATGAATCCAAGAATTAATGAGAATGACACAAAGCTTGTTAATAAAGACAAAAAAAAAAAAAAAGCAGAGATTCAGATGCCTGTGGGAAAATTCCTTTTAAACCTACAGATGCTCAGCGCTGAGGTTTTTCGGTGGCTGACAGGGTTGATAAGAAGAGGGAGGTGTGAATGAGAATAGCCCTGGTACAGACATCGCTCCGCTGGCTACAGAATTCATTGCCGTTCCTTTATTTCAATAATATCACCTCTTATAGGTAAAACTGCAGCAATAACCTCTACTCTTAAAGACACTAGTATTAATATTTATCATGAATAAAACATGTGAAGTTATAAATAATTCAGTTATGAGGATGTTAAGTAAAATATTACTCTTCAATGACCCTATAATGTGGCTTTGAAGCACAGTTTTATGTTAAATGCCTAGGAAACACTGTGACCCTTGCCAAGACCAGCTGGTTTGCAGAAGATGCATTAAAAATTCATGCAGCAAGCTACAAAATGCTATTTTTTTTAACACAGGTTTACGGGTTTATTTACAGTTGCAGAGACAAAAGCTTTTGTAGCATCTCCTGTAAAACAGCAACAAAACTTGAATGCAAGTGATTACCTGGGATGCTGTTTTCAGCCTGGAAATAAATCACTGGGGGTAAGGAGAGGAGAGGGATAGGAGCACGACTGCTTTACAGGGCATTGCTTGGAGGGGCTAAGTCTCTGCTGACCCGCGTGAGATTTTTTATATAGGTCCCAACTGACTGTAACAACCTCAGACAGTGGAGTGCTCGCTCCTGTTGGTGAGTTGTCTTCCAGCAGCAAGTGGCAGGACCTCCCGTTAGCATCTGGGTGTTCTTGTTCCAGCAGCCCTGGAGAAGAGCTGCACGCTGGCCCGGGTGGGGTTGGCCGGCAGCCAGGGAGCTGCATCTCATTTCTATGCTAATGACCATAATCATTTTAAAAATAAATATGTGCAATCACAATATTCACCCGTGAGCGCCTAAGAGGGGAGGCACCCTCTGATCCATCTGCCCACCGTCTCTGTCGTCCAGCAACGCGGCATCTGCATGCCAGCGGAGGGGCTGGTGCTGCCCCGGGCCCCTCGTTACTGCCATCGGACAGGGCGAGTGTCACCCTGTTGCCATTAAACCTCCGTCTGCCATCTCCATGGGTAGCACGGTACCGTCCACACACCCAGCGAGCACAGGGTAGTCAGCAAGCCATAAAATCAACCTAAATCATGGGTGCACTCATTGCTCCGTATTGATGCTCCAAGCCATGGTGTCTCGGTGCTTTTGCTATCACCGCACCTGGATTTTGGCCGCAGAACACACAGGCTGGCACAGGGCAGGAAAGACAAAATGAAATGGGCTCACAGGAGATGGGGAGTGGACCCAGGAGCCCTCCCATGCTGCAGGCACGGGCGCACCTTCTCCCAAAGACGTTGCCCAAGGCTAGAGTCAGGCTGAGCTGTCTACAGCCACACTAACGCATGAGGCAGAGGAGTTATTCTTCATCTCTTCCTCCCCCATATTGTATCATGGATGACCTCAACTAGGATGAGGCTGAGCTGCAGGTGAGGCTCTTCCCTAAAGAGAAACCCATGCTTGGGATCTCCCAGCACCCAACCCTCATCAGGATGCAGTTCCCAAAGGCACGTCCTAAGGACACAGTGCAGGTGAGCAGCAACTCTTATCCTCATCCATATTCACAGACTTGTTCTGGCAAACGAATTTCCTGGGTCTCCCCTAATCAAAGCGCAAATGCTCACTCCATCCTAACAGGCCCCGTGGAAAGGCCAACGGAATAAAAATGAAAATAGGTATCGAGTGAAATTTTCTTTACTCCATGAAAAACTAAATTGAAACCATTAGTGGCCAATCCTTTTTTGCTCAGTACAGCATTAGTGCTAAGCCGGAGATTGACCTAGATTTGATATAGAAAAAGAAAACATTAACTTGGTATGTCAAAGCAAATCCCAGGCCTGTTAGAATCATTAAAACCCAAACATTATTATCAACTGCAGGCACAGGAAGACGACTTGAAAGGTTCAGTGCCAAGCCTGGTGTTAGGAGAGTATTTGGGAAACCCAGCTAGGACTGCAATCACATCCTCTTTTTGCTTTTAAATTACTTAGGGGCAAAGAGATACCTAGGGTTGGCTCTGACGCAAGAGGATGCTGGGGAGGAGCTGAGCATCCCCATGGACACTGATGCCAGGCAGTTCACAAATAACAGCCAACAAGAGAAGACCCTTTCTCCACATTTCGGCCACCAACCTGTTAAACTCAGACATCTTCCAAGGCAGGCACATGGTTAAAATGCCTCGACGTTAACACAGTACAAGGAACAAGAGTTCAATGGGGACATGCCTGGGCTCCCAGATGCTCCTGCCAAGGATGGCAAGCTTCGTTAGCTCCATTACAACTGATGAAGGTGAAGCCTGGAAGGAAAATAGTTTGCCCAGAGTGAGAGAACAAGCCATGGGCAGAGTCAACACCTTCCAAGAGTGGCTCCATCCTGATGCTGGTGACAGCTGCTGATTTTCATACTGAATTTCCCAACTCACTAATAAAACTGAATTTCCCATCGGGTCAGCAGAAGTCAGGACTGTTTTTAAAACACAACAACCACCATGTCAATGAAACCCAGACCTAAACCACTCTCAAATCAGGCTGGCAGCTCCAGCAGAACCAGCCCTTGGTATCTGTGAGATTTATTAAGCCCCCATCCTCCTTGGCACCGCAACTCCTTCCCAAATGCTTTCCCTGCCCCAAAGCAAGCAGAGGGATTACATCTTCTTCCATTCCCTCCTGGAGTCTCCTTCTCTGGAGATATTCAAAGCCCACCTGGATGATATCCTGTGCAACATGCTCTAGGTGAACCTACTTTAGCAGGAGGGTTGGACTAGATGATCTCCCAAGGTCCCTTCCAACCCTTGCGATTCTGTGATTCTGTGACCTGGGAGACCTTCACCACTAAGTTAGCAACCTGCTCAGGAGTATTTCCAAAGAAGTCAGCAGGTGAAGGCTTCACAGCCACAGGTCCCTTATCTGCTCCCCTCCACGCTCTGGAAATGGAGGATTCGCCTGCAAGAAAGAGCCGGCACAAAAGATGGGGGGCGTACAGACACCACAAATCCCAACCGCTCCTCTCTTCCCCCTGCTTTCAAACAGGGATGCTTTCCCAAGTCTTTAAGATAAAGACACTGCACCTTCTTTCTCTACATTAAAAAAAAA